AATATATAATACACATATACACGGAATGATTTCTTATTTTGTCAATTTAATCATAACCCAAATCATACAAATCAAAGTGTGAAAGTAGTGAATAACTTTATGATCAAGGGTATAAATACTCAATTGTATCTATTAATCCTAATAGTATAACAATAAAACTGTGTATATACTGAGCATATTTAGATACATCCGGATCTACGACCGCGGCCATATAATCAATCAAGGAAAGTATATTAGATTGAATTACAAATGTGCTATCACTTAAACAAAATTTTCCGTTATCCACGTAAGCCTAAACCTGGGAGAAATAAAGTTCTGTTCTGTTCTGAAGACGCCGTCATGATTAGTTGGCGCATGTCTAGACTGTCCAATCAACGTAATCAATATACAAACCGTGATGTTACTTGACCAGTTGATGACACCTGTCAAACTAAAAGTGCCCCTGGTCCTCCATTATATAAGAACAATTGTGTTTTTAAACCGTAAGTTTTCTATTAAAACAACCATGCAAGTAAGATTTCAGCCGTAATATTACTTTAGTCACTCCACAGATTACACATCTTATATGCTGCAAACGCAGCGAATGTAATGCTACTACGTCACAGCTGCCTCGGTAATTAAGGGCTGGAATGTTTTTGTGAAGGCAGTTAGAGCAGACGAATTTCCCCCCTCGCTGTATAAAGGCGGTCGCTAACCATATATATGTATTTTTACTGTTTTTGGCTTGATTTGATTGTCCTTTGGTGAAAACAAATGTTCAATTGTGAAAGCAAACCCTTTTCCCCTGGACGTTAAAAGACAGCTGACTTTGTTTTTGTCTGAAATATCAACGTTTGGAGTCGTTTATATATTCAGAAATCCATATTATGGTTAATATTTATAATATAATATGGACAATGGTAAAATTCATTATCACAGTTTAAGTGCTATTCACAAATGTATGTAAATCTACTTCGTGATGAATGAAGCATGGCAATGAATGTATGCATCTGATTCTTCATTTGTTCTGTATTCTTTGACGAGAATGAGTTTTGTTAATGATGATCACTCTCACAGTTTTTTGGATAAGAGGATAGGACTTTAACTGGAGAATAGTTATGAAAAATATATATATAAGTATAGGCGGTCTGTGCACATGTGGTGAAACTGATACCTCATTGATTTGCTAATCGGGACTTGGAAATCATAGTCTGTCATTAAATTGATTTTAAAATATATGGTTTTGACTGTAGTACGTCCTGACATCATAATATCATGTTGTAAACAACTTATCTTATCTTATGTTAAAACAATTATTGATAACTTCCTGAATTCCAATTGTTCAATGAACAGAATTATTCACAGCTCTGGCGTGAGACAACAATAAATTAGATGTTACCAAAGATTGTCAATTTTATGATCTTAGGCACATGTCGGCGCACTTACATGTGAGCCGTCTAGACGACTGTCTGTTTTGTAATTAAATGGCAGCTGCCATCCAGCCGAATACTTAATCTTGAGACCTATATGTTGTCTCATAATTGACCAAACCAAACTCTAGCTCGCAAACACCCCTTACTCACCCCAATATCCCAAAGAATAACTAACTACCTCAATGAACACCAAACTCAAAATCTTAAACAAAACTGCAAAAAATCAAATATCTTCACCCCTAAACTCAAAATACCCAAAATAGACACAACGCTAGCTAACCAAATAAATAAACAAACCGACCAAAACATAGCTAAAACCACCACACTTTCATACATACACGAAAATTGGCCAAATGGGTGTCACATATACACTGACGGATCTTCAGACCCGATTTCCAACCACACAGGCTTCGGAGTCCATACCACACAACCAGTTATATCCACACAATCTTACCGACTCCCTAACAACCAATCTATATTCACGGCCGAACTTATGGGCATGGCCTCAGCCCTGCATAACCAACAATCTAAAATCAACAATAAAATCCTAATTCTCACCGACTCCCTTAGTGGACTACAAGCCCTCCAAAACAAAAATACCAAAAACCGACCTAAATTAATAAACCAAATACTTAAAAGCTCCAACGACCTAACAAAAGCAGGCAAACAAATAACCTTCTTGTAGATCCCCGCCCACGTAGGAATTTACGGCAACGAATGCGCCGATAAAGCAGCTAAATTATCTCTTAAAATACCAGAAATAAGCCTAAACCTACCCATCTCAAAATCAGAAATTAAAAGTGTAAACAAACAAAAAATAACCAAAAAATGGCATAATCAATATCAAAACTCAAATAGCCAAATAAAAAAAGTGCTCAGAAAACCACTAGCCAAACCTAAAATCCTACACCCCTCTAAAAAAATTGACAGATTAATTACAAAACTCCAAACAGGACACACGAACCTAAATAACCACCTAAAAAAACTTAAAAAACACACCACAGGCAACTGCCCCCACTGCAAACAACCCGAAACCACAGAACACGCACTCATCCACTGCACCCACTACCAAACAAACAGAACCACTCTACAAACCACCCTCAATCTAAATAAGGTTCCTACTCTAGATGAAATACTAAACCCTCAAAATAAACTAGAAAACTTCAAGGCCCTAGGCGTATTCCTAATCAAAACAGACCTAATTAAGCGCATCTAAAAACTAATTAATCTACCAATCCAAAATCCAATAAACATACAAACACCCACCTCACCCGGCTCCCTTAGTTCCCTCCTCCACCCACCTCGGCATTTATTCCAAATTTAAAAATCTCAGAAGTTCAATATAAGCAACCCCTAAAAAGCCCCCTCTTGGGTTGCACACACCACTTTCACCCTTTTCGGAATACACTAAATGGTCCGGCCAGGCCCGTGTGCGAAATACGCTGCAGTCGGAAAGCGCACGTTAAATATTCTATATCAGTCAGTGGTTGTCTCATCACTACACAATCAGCAATCTAAAAAACAAAAACAAAAATCCTCATCCTAACCGACTCCCTCAGTGGACTACAAGCCCTCAAAAATAAAAACACTAAAAACCACCCCAAACTAATAAATCAAATACTCAATAGCTCAAACAACTTAACTAGGGCAGGTAAACAAATAGAGTTCATTTGGACCCCCGCCCACGTAGGAATCTTCGGAAATGAAAAGGCAGATAAAGCAGCAAAATTATCCCTTTAACTCCCAGAAATAAGCTTAAAATTACCCAGCTCAAAATCAGAAATCAAAAGTCTCACTAAACAAAAAATCAACACAAAATGGCAAAATATATACCAAAACTGAAATAGCCAAATCAGGAAAGTACTAAAAAAACAACTAAATATACCAAAAATACTACACCCATCCAAAAAATCGACAGAATAACTACTAAACTACAAACAGGCCGCACCAAACTAAATAATCACCGTAAAATAGCTAATCTACACACAACAGGAAACTGCCCACATTGCAAACAACAAGAAACACCAGAACACGTACTTCACTGCACACACTACCAAACACACCGAACAACACTACAGACCACCCTAAATCTTAAAACCGGACTTACACTAGAATCAATCCTAAATCCATAAAATAAATTAGAAAAATTCAAAGCCTTAGGTTTATACCTAATTAAAACAGGACTAATTAGTCCTAACAACCACCCAACAACCACCCAACACACACAGCTCCCTTAGTTTGTCCCCCACCCTCTCTTGGCATTCTTTCCAAATCTCAAAATTTCAAAATTACTATATAAGCAACCCCTAAAGCCCCTAATTCATAGTCTTTTTATCGTTCAAATTACTGATAAAACATATTTTAACTTGTTCCTTCTAACCATATTTCCAAACAATTCCAAACCATTCCAAGTCATTCCAAACATTTCCAGTTTTGGAAATATGTTTGGAAATGTTGCCATTCCAATTTTGGATTTTTTGGGAAAGATCGATCTTTCCAAGCTTTGGAAAGTTTGGAATGAGCGATCTTTCCAAAGCATTCCAACGTTCATTCCAAATTGGAATGGACGCTATTTGGTCTTGTGATATATCAATTACAAAATTTAGGCATAACTGGCACATTGGTAGGTCGATGCGAATGATGTTGTTCACTGGATTTTCTGGCCCAGCCTTGATTATTTAATAGTGGTGTAACGATACATTGAACTATCGATTGATTGCGATTGCTTGTCTCACGATAGTACACTATCGATTGCAACTTGAAACAATCGATACTATTGGCGATAGTTTGTTTACCTATCGATAGTTTCGATAGTTTATGTGTTTGGTACATTTACTTTCTTAAAAAACAGAAACAACTCCTATGATCATCTAACCTCTGTCGTGCTTTCGTTTGGATTGCACTACTTTGTCTGCTTGATTTAGAGTTACGTCCCTTAGCTACTCGTCGCGAGGCAACATTGACAAGATGGCGGACGCCACATGTCAGTTTGAAATTGTCGCCAATAAGGCAGGCAAACCGTGGGTATGGGACCATTTTGGCTTTGTCAAAACGCAAACGAGACAGACAAACAAAAAGTAAGTTGTAGAATCTGTCGGATAATTCTAAAGTATTCAGGAAATACTACTAATCTGACCAACCACTTGACAAGACGGCACCCAGATATTTGTATTAAAATGTTTTTGAGGGGGCAATTTGAACTTGTTTTCTTTTCATTTCTTGTTTTCTTTACAAATAGTATCAGAAAGTTATAATTATTTTGATGGTGTCAGTCAAAATGCTGAAATATATGCTGCTAAAGCCTGCTATAACTGCAAGTGAAAACTATCGCAATAGTACCGCAATAGTAGGGCCACTATCGCAATAGTATCGCAATAGTTGTTTTAACTATCGCAATAGTCAAAAATGCCTCAATAGTCACCCCTATTATTTAAGACCGCTGTAATATAGCTGGAATATAGCAGAGTGCGGCATTAAGCAACAAACCATCCATCAACATAGAGGTTACGTTGAAGCTTTATAAAACCTCTAATTTCTGAGTAACGTTACATATTCAACTTGAGAGCAAAAACATAGCCTATTGCGTACCTGTTACCTCCAAGGAGGAAAGGTGGAAACACACGATGGTATACAGCAGGTTTGTCAAGGATGTCATGTCTGCGTCGATTCTGCGTTGTCACTGATCTGGGAGCACCTCATTCAGCAGATGTATTTGTTTCTGATCGCTATATGGCTGAAATAATGCGACGGTAAATTTTAATCCACACACTCTCTGTTTCTGTAGAAAAATATAGAATAATCAGGATGTAAGCTATGTGAGAAAAGCAATTACGTAAAGAGTTGTAAACAGATCCATATTATTAGAATGGATGCTTTTTATCATCAATCAATAGTAGGACCGATCCTTCCTTTGTACCGAGATGAACCCTAAAATAATTAGCAGAGGAATAAGTATCGCATGACATTTCTGAAATTTCCCCCCGAGTGAGCAACAGCGATTTTCTAAGCAATACGATTTTTGTATTTCTGAATTGTTATGTTACACTCATTTTTCAGTATGTGTGTGGTGCATTTGAGATATTAGTGTTTTTAATATGATTGTTTGCAAATAATGAACTGTCAGAGGGTATTTGATATTTTGGTGACGAAATAAATAGCTAGATATTCACATTATGTGATTTAATACTCCCTTGAAGAGCCGTGGTGGAAGATAAATATGCCGTGAGACGTGGCCAAATGGATCAGATAGTGGAATGCGATGTCGATGGCTTGGCTGATTGTGCGTCATCGTACCTGACGGTGTAGGATGCAATCAAGCGATTCCCTGTGCCTGACTATCTGATCCATTATGTCTCCCCTTATGATCAACACAGCTGTGGACCAATGCTAACCGAAATATCACTTTGTTCTGACAAAGTACATCCTCTTGACCAATGGAAGCGAGCTTATAAGAAAAACAGCACAGACCCGAACGCTCATAAATGCCACATTAACAGGGGGCCCGGGGACGTCAGAAAGTGAGGGTCTGTCTGGCACACTCTGGCACATTGTTGTAGTAGCACTCTATAAAGACTGGAGGCAGTACGACGGGAGGCAGGAGCTTTCTAACTTGTGAACATTGCGTACCTGCACGTTCTTCCTCATGATCAGGCATTATGGAATGAACGAGTTTGGTTTATCACCGATTTCAACAGTTTCAAGGCTAGTCAGTTTACCCTAATTTTACTGCTATTGTAAGTTTGATAGTTTCTTGTTGAACGCCGTACTCAATTTATAAGACGTTGGCCTGTAAATATTCAAGTCAGTGGTTGACATAATGGTCATCGATCCACGCTATAGTGATACGATCACATGCAATCAACCAATTCAACGAGACTGGCCACCTGATCCATTAGCTCCAAGGTCACTTCTGTGATCTCGAATATATGAGTAGAGGTATGACGAACATGGTGACCTCGAATAAGTCACGACGAAGACCCTGGCTGGATTCTCCACATGGAACACACATTGTGATATGGCGGCAATATGCAGGCGTGACTCACTAAACCAAAACCAACTTTAAAAAGCTTCTGTGATGATGATAATGACCATTTACAACTCACCATGTATTGGAGACCAAGTGATTATGTAAAATAAAATAGCTGAATGAAATTCTTATTGTTTACTTTAAATAAATCAAATTACAAAGCATTTCTGACCGAGTGTCTTGTTTAGGGGAACGATTGTCTTGCATATGCATGCGTTTGTGACAGGTTTCTATTTGTCCACTACATACATTCCGTTCCTACTGCCTGACCAACGTCTGTAGCTCACTGATCATCACCATGTGACAGGGGAGAAAACATCATGGGGATGCACGACCTCCTGTTCACACACCCATTGTTGGAAGGACCGTTTAAAACTGTTAATACGGATCTCATGGGACGCTGTTGAACAGCACAGTGGGAAGCGGACAGATCCTTCGAATGCAAGAAGTGACAGGGTATCTAAACATCATATACACATGCACAAAAGTAAAGCGCCACCCACCATATTTGTGAGCTGTTACTTTTGGCACTTAATGATGACTATTATAACGAGATGTACGATTGTTATAAGCCGTATATGTAAACCTCATGTGATGCAAAAGTTGTCCCAAAGCAAGTTTATCTTGTGTTCCAAAAGAATATGAGCAGAAAGGAATTTTACCGAAGACCAGAAATTGAAGGATTAGAAAACATTGAAAAACTTGTTTTGTCATGTAACTGTCAGCAGACCATATCAGATGTCACATAGACACCCTAGGGAGTGCAGAGACAGAAACGTCAGAAACGTGTGTATGATCCACGGACATTGAACACAGCTGAGGCAAACGGATCCATTCTTCATGAAGTGCGGCTTCAAGTCCAGTGAGATTTTGAACTGGGGGATCACGATGTCTGATCTTCCGGCCAAGAATGTCCCAGAGATGCTCAATCGGATTAAGATCCGGACTACAGGCCGGCCAAGGAAGAGTGGCAATAGCTTCTTGACGCAAATAAGCCAAAACTGCCCGAGATCTGTGTGGTCTAGCATTGTCGTCCATGTAAACAGGTCTTGTCTGAAGAGGATGTTTGTCAAAATGAGGGACTACCACTGGACGAAGAACGGCATCTTGGTATTGTTGGCCATTCAGGTTTCCACGAATTGTAACCAGCAGACGTTTGTAGCCGAAGGAAACACAACCCCATATCATGACAGACCCCCCCCCCCCCCGCCCCCCCCCCCCCGCCACATGCTAAGGTCTTCTTGATCTGGATGTTCCTTGGTGCAAAACGAGTGTTACGTTGCCTCCAAACACGTATTCGACCATCAACAGTTCGTAGCAGCATTTGACACTCGTCAGACCAATGGATCCTTCTCCAGTTGGCCAAGTTCCATCGACTATAGGCACGACACCATATCAGACGATTCTACGTGTGCCTCTCAGTCAGTTGAGGACGTTTTACTGGTCTTCTGGCGTTATAACCAGCCGCTCTGAGGCTACGCCTTACGGTCATGGTCTCGAGTCTCTGATGGGTAATCCACTGCAGTCTTAAATCTGTTGAAGTGGCAAATGGATTTCGTCTGACTATCCTGAAAAGACGTCTATCCTCTCTGTTAGAGGTCTTTCTTGGCCTACCAGACCTATGCCTGTCATTGACATCATTGGTTTGACCATGTTTGACGATCAAACGAGTGATAACACTGTGATGACGACCCATATGTCTTGCAATGGCCCTGCATGATATGCCAGCATTTTTCATGCCTATCAATTGCCATCTTTCAGTGTTAACTTTCTCCTCACCATGGCTGATTTTCAACCTCTATGGGAAGGGAAATCTCACACAGGAGCAAAATGCAACCACGTGTCCGAAACTTGAATTTCACTATTTATAGGGTAGGGGAACTGCAGCAACACGTAAAGCACACTTTACTTGTGGTATCTGGACAAATTTATCGCATATTGTTTATCGCATGGATGCCTACAAAATGCAATGCCAAATGAAAACTGTACAAACAAGAAATATTTTAATAGCATGGTCTAATCGATTAGATTGTAACAAAATGGATTCTTCGAAACAATGGCATGAAGAACAATAAAGATTACTTAATAAAGGCAGCAGAATGTAATTGTATTAAACCTATTTAACTACACGAATTATTAATTTGGTTCTTGTGAGTGGGTAAAATCATTGTCTTTGACGTCGTGTGTATTTCGTAGCAATGGTTCCCGAGATCACGAGGAGCAACTTAGTAATTGTATTTGTGTGGATAACCCCTGATGCAAACATTTTAACTCATTAATTGTTCATACGTGATCACAGGTTTCCCTACCAATATATAATATTGGGTGCGTGTTTGCGTGCGTGTTTGCGTGCGTATGTAACATTGTATTGTGTTGTGAATTACTCGTCGTATATTGTACTAATACATTCTCAAATGTGGAGCAAATATCGACAAAACGCTTTCCATATTCACACGAAATCTCTGCCAAAAGCAGAGTCGATTGCACGATTCCAACTTCATCACGGGCATGTGTTTATGAATCATATGTCTATTTTACGAAACAACCTTTACAATTTATGCCAAAAGATTAAGGAAACATTAAGATATTTAAGTGTAACTAAAGGTAACAATATTTTCTGAAGATGGACAGAAACGTACTTGAAAGTAAGGTCACACACACTGGAAATTTCCAGTAAAAATACAGGATCTTCCACATGAGAATCAGAAGACTGATGACTCAATGAGAGGAGACTGTCCCCATCCATGGCTACATCGATCTCGAACCACATTGTATATGTAGGAGCAGCAGTACTAAAGTGTGGAATAAGTTAAATGTATGTGAATGTGCATCCGGGGGTTATAATACCACTTGGGGTTATACCACCCCAAAGAGGTTTCCGAATCTTGTACCACCATGTTAAAAATTCATTGTGGCGAACACATTTTCCCATTAAAGGTATGCTTTAGATTTCATGGCCATCTAAAAATACTGGACCATCTAAATCTGTGGTTATTACTTAAACCCTGTTCCATGCTGTCGGTTGTCCTTTTTTGTTATCATTGTATAAGTTACCTGTGTGATGGCACACAGTCAACAAAATCACCGTGACTGACCATCGATGCATAAAATTAACCTTGTAGTACAAGCATAGGTTCTTTTATGGCACAAATTAGTCACAAGTACAATCTTTGGCACGAAATCCACGATTTTAACTATAATAACTAACATTTCATGCAACATGAACCAAATAACTACGAAGTCAACGCTTTGTCCCTGTTGGGACCCTGGATAGCATACGTCCGTCCGGTGGGAATTGACTTGGTTGATTGCATGTCAGAGTACTCCGACAGGGTGACTCTTTCCTTATATCAGTCAATGGACTGACTGGTCACAGGCCGTCTTCATAAAGCAGGAGTAATGCTTAGCGCAGCTTTGAACAAATAGAGAACGTCATCGCTTGAGAATGTTCTGTCTTGATTATCTGCCGAAACATGATCTATTGGCTTTAAAAGGCAAAATAGAGGTAAACATATATGGATCCGTCACTGAAAATGATGACACGTGATTCCCACAGAGCGTCATAAGAGTAAAGCTCGTAAACATGAATACTTCTGTGCTTTGTTATAAGAGATTAAGAAATGACATTTCTGAAGCGATGCTATGATGGCAAACAGTTCCAGAATAGAGATTTGAAACAATGTAGAATTTAGGATGAAGTTATGGTAATAATATATAGTGATGATACCAAGCAGTTTTTTATTTGTCACACCACTGACGTGAAATGTGGTCAGGTTAACAATATCCCAGATGGCGTCTATTCTATGTCATTAAGACCAAAACGATTACAGTGACTTCAATATCACCGCTACACTGCTTCCCGAGATATTAGTGTAACTTGTCATGCTCTTGGCATGACAACAGATTATGGAGAACGTCATCAAGGAGTAATTGCTACAGTTGAACATATTCACAATATCTTTAACTGTATGTAACTCATCAATACCATCAGGAAATTATTCTTAGGATTTTGAAACTGTATTGATGTCCACCATTAATCAGGTGTTTACAGTGTTCCAGTCAACCGCCGTGCTAAAGCTGGAATATTGATGACAGCAGGGCAAAACAAGCAGAACAAATAAGGCAATATTAGTAAATATACGATACCAACCAGCTCATTGAGTAATAGAGTTTTATTATGCCATTAAACAAATACCTTGAAAACAACATGACAATTAAGTTATCAGAACATAATAAATACACAATAAAACAAAAAGTCCAGAAAATAACCGGTCTCGATTTTCTGCCGACGAGATTCCATTGAGCGTAATAGGGAAATATGTCTCAAAAACATAAATGTCACCAGGTTTTCGCGTGGATGGAAAGCATATCCTGCCCTCACGGTAGAACCCGCCACTCACTCACACAATTTGCACAGAAAGTAAGTGTATGTGTGTTGCCTGACGCAGCACTACTGCAGGATTCCTTGATGCGACGACAGTCTGTAAACAAAGCGTACAATCGAGTGATCAATAATTTCTATGTGTCTGTATGTTTGTCCATAATTTAATGAACATATTGTTCTTAAACCGATTGCCTACATAACGTCATTGAACATAATAACTATCATAATTAGATAGACAACTCTGATGTATATGCTTGAGTTCACATTCAGACGTGTGATGTCGAGCCAGATATGTCCCAAATCTGTGATTTTTTTTTTATCACAGGCTTATCCTGCCCAGAACATACATATGAAATATTGACACAGTTGACATCTATGAAACTTATCTACCAGAGACAGGTAAAACAACCCTTTAGTGTCAATCCTTCAAAAGCCTTTGCAATAGTCAGTGAGAAATAGTTGTTTTAAACAATATTTTGAAAAAGACAAATATACACAAGCTGTTTGAATTGGTTTAGATAAATGTGTTATTCATGGCTGCAGGACACAAAGCTATAAACATGATACATTACACCAACGTGACCAATGGTAGCAGGTTTATAAGAGTAATGAAATGTGTGAGGTGGAGGTTTAAACAAACCAACTTGTGTCACGGCGAGGTTGATGTGGGAGGAATGTTCGTGCAGCTCTTTGCCATTTAAAACTCTTAGGTGAAACCGACGAGCAAGGTATGGTGCTTCATGTATAAACATGTGAGGAGTTTAACACCTGATTAAATAAGTATTTCCGGGATTTTTTCACAAAAGCTTTGAGGTAAACGTTTACATTAATCGTTTTCTCAAGAAAAGTAAGTTAATGCGTAGCCATACTTTGAAACACTTATTTTTTAATCTCATTTATATATAGATTTACATATAAAGGTGTATCGATGATCAGATAATGTTCACGTGAACAAGCTTCTGGTATATAAATGATCTTCAGTGACGGTCAAATATTCAGAGAGATGAACATACAAATCGACTTGACTTTTGGAAGTACAACTCGAACCGAAAAATGTGTTTCGCGATAAGAGATCTAGAATTGAATCCGGCGTCATCATTTCCAAAACGAAGCATTGGTGGCAAACGGGTCCAGTTTTGAGATTTGATAACGTATAGAATTTTGGATACAGGTATAGAAACAGGCCGTGAAACGAACAACCCATCGCAGCGATATTGATCAGTACTTGAATTCACGACCGTGATCAGTTTAGTAATTGTATTTTGCCATTACACGAACACGGTAATACAAAAATGTGTAGATACGAGCTGTGAAAGTTCCCGCTTATTTTTCTGAAACATCCTAAGGCCTCAGCAAAGTCACAAAGTCTACATTCATCTTTCAAATCAGTGAAAGTGTTTAGATATGTTTACAAGGTACACATAAGAACACAAGCATATATTTCGTCAATATAGAGAAATTCGACAGATCTGTATATTTAAAACGATGGGCTGAAATATTGCCGATGTGACGTAAAGCATAAACTCACTCACTCAGTCACTGTATATTGAATACCATGTTTCCCCATGACTTATTCAACATCTGTTCATAAACATATGGCTTGCATAACGTCATTGAGCATATTAACACAATCATAGAAATAACATCTATATGTTTGAGATTTCACATTTAGGTGTGTGATTTTGGATTAAGTAAGTCCCAAACCTGACAAAATTCCGTTGTCACAGGCCTATCCTGCCTAGATAAAAACATATTAAATACATACACAGTTGGCATATATGAAACATATTCAGCAGAGACAGGATAAACAGCCCTTTAACAAAATGTGCCGAAGTCCCAGCTAGCTGCCGAGGAAGAAGCGGAAGTTTCCTGGCCACTTCTTGTCTGACATTCTCCAGTCAGTCTGTTGAAGTTGAAGAACAGACAGTTGTGGAGTCTGTAACAGTTGATGCTGCACTCCACGAGACTTGAGGCATTACCACGTAGCACGGTGATAGAGGAGTCATTCAGTTTGTGGCCTTCTTTCACTTGTACCTTATTCCTCAAGCATCCACCTGTAATTATCAATTCGTATACAAACTTGTATATCTAATGACTCATTGTGCCATTCAGCAAACTTCCAGCTCAGTCATGGAAATATGTTCACCAGGACATTCTGAACCAGTTTCTGAAGAACACTGATCGATGACACTCAGGACACACAGCCAGGAGCGTCCCACCCGTTCCCAATCATAGCATTATTTTATTGGGACTTATGTTACTTGTTAGTTAACGTTGATGTGATACAAGTAGTATAGACAGCTACACCCCAGGTAATAGTATCCTTAATAGTTACCTAAATATCACTGTGGTCAAACCGTTTTTAAGAATTACATTTATTCTGATATTACAATTTTTCATTGTCTCGATCCTGACAGTGAAATAAAATACCTTTCGATTTTGTGAAAGATACATTTCGTCCTGTCTCAAGGGAAGTTTAAATATCCCAGAGTGCCATTAATATATGCCTCACCTATTTTCTGTCCAAACACTTGCATCTCACACATCATCACGTTAGCAGAGGAGGAAACTTTTACATATCTGGCCATGACCTCCTGTTCACAAGGCACAGTCTTGGATTGACCTGTGAAATTGCCGAGTTGGTTGACGCAGACTTTCGGGGATGATAGAGGACAGAGTGTAGGATGCAGATCAAAGCCGACGATTTTAAAAAGATCTGGGCGACCTAAAACACCATATCATTCATACAGCCATACTACGGAGTGTATCTAGAGCACTTAGTTTCACCTGAATTCCTCCCGATTGTAGGTCGTTATCTGAATACTGACCTGTGACCAAAAGTACATGTATGTCCGATGCAATTCCCTATTTTGACTGGTACCATACGTTCCCATGCTATTATAGGTGAAAATAGCCTTACCGTTGCGTGTGTTTGTGAGGACTGAACTAGTATCATGGTATCAGCATTATTTGATAGCAATTCATAAACATATGCTTGTTTGTTTGTTTGTTTGTTGTTTAACGCCGCAGTCAGCAATAGTCCAGCTATATGACGGTGGTCTGTAAAGTAAACGAGTCTGGACCGGACAATCCAGTGATTGCCTTCATGAGCATCGATCCACGCAATTGGGATACGATGACATGCATTCACCAATTCAGCGAGCCTGACCACCCGATCCCGCTAGTCGCCTTTTACGACAAGCATAGTCGCCTTTTACGGCAAATATGGGTTGATGAAGACCTATTCTACCCCGGAATCTTCACGGGTCCATAAACACATACAGACAGACAGATATATTTGTATAAGGGCCAATTGACCCATTGTACATTGTAAATACATTATATATTTTTGTCTAAGAGTTAACTTATTGATTTGTTTTGCAGCTATTTTGAAATAATGTTGGGTAAGTTACCTGGGTTGGGACCATAACGTGTTAAAATGGGCGGGGGATATAGATGACTGCATTGACTTTCAGCTTGTTTAGTTATTGTGTACCAGAGAAGATTCCGGGGTAGAATAGGTCTTCAGCAACCCATGCTTGCCGTAAAAGGCGACTATGCTTGTCGTAAAAGGCGACTAACGGGATCGGGTGGTCAGGCTAGCTGACTTGGTTGATACATGTCATCGGTCCCAATTGCGTGGATCGATGCTCATGATATCAATCACTGGATTGTCTGGCCCAGACTCGATTATTTACAGACCGCCGTCATATAGCTGGAATATTGCTGAGTGCGGCGTTAAACAACAAACCAACCAACCAAAGTTATTGTGTCTTGTAATTTGTCATTTGTTTGCATAAAACAAACCTAAGAAAAGAAACACACTTGTTTTACTTTCCATTTCATATGGATGCGACCATGATGGATCTTTTGTGGGTAAACAATGTATGCTTCTTCAAGAACATTCAACTCTTGACTCATTACATACAGAATTGCACATTTACTTGTGGTTACTTTACAGACAACTGCCGGGGGGATATGTCATGTTTCTGACGACTCTTGTTTGAGAACACCTACATTAGAATGTATAAAAGTTAATCATTGTATCATTGTTGGATAACTGACAGAGTCTTTCTAAACAAAATTAATGAAGATTAACTGTCTTTGGGATAAACATTTCCCGCCGACCTGCATAAGGAGGACAATTATATATTACATGAAGTTCATCCTCAATTACATAACAGTGTTTACATAAGACGGCATCATCCTCAATATTGGCAACACCCTACGAAAAAGTTCAATACCAAGAGTATTTTGTCCATTTCTAATTCACATGATCACGGAATAGTCGGAATCGTAAATGGACTTCTTCTTTCAGACGAGATTTCTTAAGATTATGGAAATGTTTTATTGCTTATATTTACTTTTATATGCACAAAATATTATTTATCTTTGCCACCCACACAACCTTTCTGGAGATAAGTTGTACTAATTCAAGGAAGCTTGACTAAAATGTATGCTAATCTTCCCAACTTACCGAGGACGTCTGTTCTCCTGAAAACAGTGATCCTCGAAATATTGTACACACGAAGAAGATCCACCATCCACCAGCCGTTGCCAGCACGTGTGTGCATACAACGGTCAGTATGGAAGTTTCCTCCTGTTACACCATCCACAGCATAGGACGAGACAGCATTGAGGTACGTGCTGGACTGAATGGTTGGTTTGCCTTGAGCTATATTTGTCTGAACGGGCACTGTAAAACATAGAATATATTTCGAAATAAAACGTACATGACAATGAAAAGTTTCAATATGGCTTCCGATAGTGCGTACGTATGTGACTAACCGTATTGTTTTACAAATATATTGTCATTCGCTGGGATATCAATGAATGAATACGTTTCTGGATAAGTATCACCTTTTTCTTCAATCCCAAATTCTAAAAAGCCCTGTGCCATTTGGAATGGTGATTTGGATAGATCATCAGTCATATATTAAGCACAATCAATATTCATCAGCTGGAACAGCTTCGATTTAAATACTATTTCATTTTTAAAGGCATGGCCAAGACCCATGATACTAGTGATAGGTGTCTCCATATCTAACTGTTTCGGAATCTATTTAGAATACATACATTAGAGATGAAAGGACGAATCACGGTGGCAAAACCTTTAATTGCAGTCATCTCTTGACCTGACGTTTCCATTGTCCCTATTGAATAAATTCTTTATATTATATATTTGCATAGTTAACCACAATGTCAGTGTAATACCGTTGTATTTCTAGGATTAAAAAACTAAGTCTTTGTGATCCGTCCTTCCCAATTTCGTTTCCAAGCAGTGATATGCATGCCACACTGTTACACGTAACCTTAAACTGCAGAGCGTACGTTATTCAAAATTAACATATCGTTTTAGTTTTAAAAAAAAGTCTAGTTTAAAGTTTAGTTTAAATCGTGTCACTGGGTTTTCTGGTGAATCACTTGATTGTCTGTTTGTTTACAAGCCGACGTTGTATGGCAGTGCGAGTACTGCCGTGTGACGCCAAGCAAAAAAAAACACCCTACTTTTGCTTTATACGCCCAATGTCATCCCGTTTTGGTTGATAATTGAAACTGGTTAGTGTCTGCCATTGAGGTTGTATATTTACTTCAGCTGGGAATACGATTACCAGGATTACCAGGATACCATGATGGACAGAGAACACATGCTGAGGAAAGCAATGAGGCAGGGAGCGAATCAAACAGGATTAAAATACATTGGTGGCTGATTATTGCTAAATGAGTTGAAATAAAGCAGTTGTTGTTCATAAATTGTGTCCACTTTGTCATCCCCACCAAACAATACTGATATAATAAGCCAAACTATCCAAGTTTGCCTTTAGATTTGGTTTGTTTGTTTGTTGTTTAACGCCGCACTCAGCAATATTCCAGCTATATGACGGTGGTCTGTAGATAATCGAGTCTGGACCAGACAATCCAGTGATTGATATCATGAGCATCGATCCACGCAATTGGGATCGATGACATGCATCAAACAAAGTCAGCGAGCCTGACAACCCGATCCTGTTAGTCACCTTTTACGTAAACCTGAATGCAATTAAATCCAAACTTGTGAAAGTATGACGGAAACCTTCCGTCCGTAACATCATTCAAAGACTTAACATGTCAGTCGTGATCATGTTAAACTAATGATGGGAACGATTGCTGATAATATGGACAATATGAATTAAGTTGCATCGGCAAAATCTCCGCCATATATCGACGGTAACAACAATGTTATATTCTTTTCATATTATATTCTTAAACAAAGGTGGGCTGACTACGTTACTATTGTTGGTGTAGTAAGCTTGTGATCATGTTCGTCTTCATTAAAATGATATGATTCAAGTGTTACATTGATGTTAGGTTTGACGACATGAAACCTCTTATGGATTACAACATTGCTTCTTTATCCATAAAATGTTCACGTGAGCATGTTTTTCTGAATGTCTATCAAATATGAATTGTCACTGCAAGAGAATAACCAGTCAAGGTTATCTGCAGAAACCGACTATATTGGACGTAAAATCCAAAATACTGATGAAATTGTATGAAAGGATCACTGACAATCAGTGTTGACACAATATGTTAGCGACAAGTGTAAGCATGCCTGTTCTACTGGTAGCACCTGCCATTGACACAAGTACGAGATGACAAAGATGGAAACTGGAAATTTATATTTTATTTTTGAAAAATCCCAAACTATCAAAAGGCACCAGTTCATTACCAGTGCATGCCAGGTTTGGTGAAGAAGTACTGTACACATTACAGGAATACCGCCATTTCCAGCCTAAGTCAAAGATGTTGGCATCAAAACGCGAAATATACTGAACCAAATTAAAAACTTCACAATCCTAAAATTTTAACATTTTGACCAGTTATCATTGTGTGCCCTTATTGTGTATTTAAACAGTAATGGCCACGTATTGTCTTACGATAACACCCGTTTTTGTGCAGGTGAATCGATCAAAATCATGTGCACAGCACTATAGTGGCAAAAGTGGTTTTTCACGTGCAACTGGTCACGTGGCCATAATACCGCACGTGTTTTCAGCCATACTTGTTAGCAGTCATTAACAACAACAAAAAACACAAGAAAACGAAAGTCTTTACGGCCATTTGTCATGCCACGCCTTTCAAATGTGCAACGTGAACGTGCCATCGGCATGTTGCAGACGGGAACGTCCGTAGCTGAAGTCGCATGGACGATGGGTTGTAGTCGACGGACTGTTTATGATTTACAGACGCGTCTACAGCAAACGGGTTCCATCGCTGATCGCCCTCGGCCAGGTCGACCACGTGTGACGTCACATGCAGAGGATCGTCAGATTGTCTTACGTCACGTCACCTCCGTAACCGATTTTGGACGGCTACATCAACCATAAATGAACTGTTTAGGGGTAGACAGAGTGCGCAAACTGTTCGAAACCGTCTGAGAACTGCTCACCTTCAAGCACGACGGCCATACTGTGGGCCGATCCTGACTCAATTACACAGACGTCAACGTCAATTGTGGGCACAGCGACACTTACGATGGACTCAGAGTAATTGGAATCAAGTCGTCTTCAGTGATGAATCCCGATTTAATCTTCGATTTGCTGATGGTAGGGCGAGGGCGTGGCGGCGCCGTCATGAACGTTACGCCCAGTGTTGTGTACAGGAAGTTGACAGATTTCGAGGCGGAAGTGTCATGGTGTGGGGTGCTTTCTGTGGCAATGCATGTTCCAGGCTTCTTGTCATCCGTGGCAACCTCAACGCTGCTGCTTACCGCGACCAGGTACTGGCACCAGAACTTCTGCCTTTTATGGCAGCACATGGACCCGGTTTGATCTTCCAATGCCAGACCCCACAGAGCAATTTTGACAAGGAATTTCCTTTAGAATGCGGGAGTCAACGTCATGCATATGGACTGGCCGTCAAGGTCTCCCGACCTCAATTCCATCGAACACATCTGGGATGCTCTTGGCAGAAGTCTGCGCACTCTCCCAAACCAACCACAGACCTGCAAGATCTTTTCACCATTTTGCAGCAACAATGGCGTCGTCTTCCCAATCATGTGTTCACAAGCATCACAAGGTCCATGCGGGGGCGTTGTGTGGCAGTTGTCAACGCATATGGTTGCCATACACGCTACTGAACTTGTGTGCCATCAGATTCTCGTGCTTGGGACTTATGATTTAAACTTTTGATGTTATTACCGAATACCGTAGGTGCTTGCAACAAATTATGTTTACCACCGTCAATTAAAATCCTTCTTTGGACATTAATGATTCAAAATTACCTTCTCTGATACATTTGTCCGTTGTGAGCGAAGTTTACCACTACATCTATCTACTGCCATTTCCAGCCAAAGTCAAAGTTGCTGCATTTGAAACTGGAAATTATATTTTGTACGAAAAAACAACAAAGTACCACAAGGCGCCATTTCCCGCCTGTCAAAGCTGTTGCCTTCGGGAGCGGTGATGGGCCATGAATAGGAGCAGAAAGTATTTACATATCGTGCCCCCGAGATACTAAAGTGTGCACACGATGTAGTATCATGTTCACACGCAATACCATACCGTGCGCACAAAATGAAACCTTATAACAGTCATGAAGCACGTACAGCACGTGCAAGGGGTGGTATGCCAGATTTGCCTCGGTTGTGACGCATATTGTTTTATTAAAAGCAAACGCTCAAAGACTCTTCATTAATCTCATTTAATCCTTGGCTCGCATATTTGGTTGATGTATGTCATCGTATCCCAATTGCGTCATGTGTGAGCTCAGCCAATGTTAGCGCTTACAGATGGACACTAAGCCTCGATTCCACACAGCTAATAAATATATTCCATGCTAAAAGCAAGCCCCATAGTGACGTCACAATCCCTGTCACAGGAAGTGACAAATCCTGAGCTGTATCCTACCTCTTTTTCCTATACAAACATGTTATGCATTCATATATTTCACATGTCCATATGTCAATGTATGAAAATAATACCAACATAAAACCCATCAATACACTGTATAGATTGAGAACATGTTTGTTGAAGTCACCTGACATCAAAATGTTCTCTTACAGGGTAAAAGTCATTCACAAAAAGACGGGTTTCGTCTGTCTCATGAAGAGGAGGGACTAATTACCACGTTTCCTGCAATCATTGATAATTCCGCTTCCTAAATCCATCTGAAAATAGGTTGAGCTACAACTGTAAACATGTTTTATTTGGATAAATGACATCCCAAGATTCCCCCTCGAAGTGACCAAGAAGTCCCACACAGAATGTCCAGGAAAATAAATAATTCTGGCACCTTACTGATAGCATCACATTCCACTTACAGATATGTTACGTCAGGTCAGTTCAACACCATTTGTTTCGATTTGTCTTGACTGATATGTCATTGAGGGTCTAATGTGTGGGGGTCTAAACAGATGGTTTACAGGTTTAGGGGTGTGACATTTGGTTCCTTCTGTCTTAAGCTGTATGGACACAGTTTGGCAATGTGATCACACTGAGCATACATCTCAAATCTCAAATATTTATCGGTTTGTTAGTTATGATTAGGAATAGTAACCCCTTCACAGCATCGGAAGTAGTCAAGATTTTGGGCACGTGGCCTCTATCAGTAAACTATTGGCTCAAACTGTAGCAGAATGTCATTGCTACTTTTGTGGATTATTCCATTTGGATTCTACCTTATGCTCAATCCAAATCATGACTTCCAAATGACACAACTGGAAATTTGTCAAGGTATAACTGGAGTACTGTTAAAATCGGCGTTAAACCCAACTCACTCACTCTTTTCATTGTGCTAGCCCATGCAGACCCTGTCAGGTAACTACGATTGGAAAATTTACCAAAGATGGTCCTGATCATGAAATTAATAAACCATATCCCTTAGATGAAAAAAACCCACATTACTATTCAGTGAATACATTTCGTCACATGGAACAATCATAAAACAAATATAACAGTGTAGTTTTTTAAAAGACCTCTGTCGATCCAGTTGGCAGAGACTATAGAGTGAATCTGTCGTCTATTAGTAAACTATCTTTGATGTATGTAGGTCGCACTTGAGAAAGAGGCTTGTTCTTTACGGGAAAATATATCAATTACAAAATTGAGGCTAAACTCGCACACTGGTAGGTCGATGTGAATGATGTTATTCACTTGATTTTTGGTCCAGCCTTGATTATTTAAGACCGCTGTAATACAGATGGAATATTACGGAATGCGGCGTAAAGCAACAAACCATCCATCAACATAGAGGTTACGTTGAAGCTTTATAAAACCTCTAATTTCTGAGTAACGTTACATATTCAACTTAAGAGCAAAAACGTAGCCTTTTGCGTACCTGTTACCTCCAAGTAGGAAAGGTGGAAACACACGATGGTATACAGCAGGTTTGTCAAGGATGTCATGTCTGCGTCAATTCTGCGTTGTCACTGATCTAGGAGCACCTCATTAGGGACCGATACCTTATATATCTTTCAGCAGATGTATTTGTTTCTGATCGCTATATGGCTGAAATAATGCCGATGCGACGTTAAATTTTAATTCACACACTCTCTGTTTCTGTAGAAAAATATAGAATAATTAGGAGGTTCGCTACGTGAGGAAAGCAATTACGTTCACAGTAGTAAACAGATCCATACTATTCGAATGGATGCTTTTTATCATCAATCAATAGTAGGACCGATCCTTCCTTCGGATCGAATGAACCCTAAAATAATTAGCAGAGGAATAAGTATCGCATGACACTAACGAAATTTCTCCCTGAGTGAGCAACATTAATTTTTGAAGCAATACGTTTTTTGCATTTCTGAATTGTTACACTCATTTTTCAGTATGTGTGTGGTGCATATGAGATATAAGTGTTTTGAATATGATTATTTGCAAATAATGAACTGTTTGAGGGTATTTTGTATTTTGGTGACGAAATAAATAGCTTCCGTAGATATTCACATTATGTGATTAAATACTCCCTTGAAGAGCCGTGATGGAAGATATTGATGCCAGGAGATGCGGCCAATGCGGATAGTGGATGGCGATGTCGATGGCTTGGCTGACTGTGCGTCATCGTAGGATGCTATCAAGCGATTCCCTGAGCCTGACTATCTGATTCATTATGTCTCCCCTTATGATCAACACAGCTGTGGACCAATGCTAACCGAAATATCACTTTGTAATGACACATTAACTTAGGGGGCCCGGGGACGTCAGAAAGTGAGGGTCTGTCTGGCACACTCCTGGCACATTGTTGTAGTTCAAAAATTAATTCAAACTCTGATGCATAGGGTTTCTGTAAACAAAGTGTACGTCATGGCCATTATTCTAGGGCAGATGATGAAAGCGTTCGCTTGGCACGACAAAGACCCTGGCTTGATTCTCACCATGGAACACACATTGTGATGTGGCGGCAATATGCGGGTGTGACTCACGAAACCAAAACCAACTTTGAAAAGCTTCTATAATGATGATAATGACTATTTACAACTCGCCATGTATTGTAGACCAAGTGATTATGTAAAATAAAATAGCTGAATGAAATTCTTATTGTTTACTTTAAATAAATCAAATTACAAAACATTTCTGACCGAGTTTCGTGTTTAGGTGAACGATTGACTTGCACTTTCATGCACTTCTGACAGGTTTCTTTTAGTCCACTACATACATTCCGTTCCTACTGCCTGACCAACGTCTGTAGCTCACTGATCATCATGGTGACAGGGGAGAAAACATCATGGGGATGCACGACCGCTTCAGAATGTAATTGTATTGAACCTATTTAACTACACGAAGTATTAATTTGGTTCTTGTGAGTGGGTACAATCATTGTCTTTGACGTCGTGTGTATTTGGTAGCGATGGTTCCCGAGATCAGGAGGAGCAACTTCGTAATTGTATTTGTGTCGATAACCCTTGATGCAAAGATTTAGCTCATTAATTGTTCAGACGTGATCACAGGTTTCTCCATCAGTTGGCACATTATAATATACCACGAGAATGAGTGGGTGCGTGTTTGCAGGCGTATGTGACAAAGTATTGTGTATCGAATTACTCATCGTATATTGTACTGATACATTCTCAAATGTGGAGAAAATATCGACAAAACCCTTTCCATATTCACACGAAATCTCTGCCAAAGCAACTTCATCACGAGCATGTGTTTATGAATCATATGTCTATTTTATGAAACAACTTTTACAATGTATGCAAGAAGCATGTAAAGATTACGGAAACATTAAGATATTTAAGTGTAACTAAAGGTAGCAATATTTTCTGAAGACGGACACAAACGTACTTGAAAGTAAGGTCACACACACTGGACATTTTACAAGCAGCATATACTCAAAATTTCAAGTAAAAATACAGGACCTTCTACATGAGGATCAGAAGACTGATGCCTCAATGAGATGAGACTGTCCCCATCCATGGATTCATCGATCTCGAAATACATTGTATATGTAGGACCAGCAGTACTAAAGTGTGGAATTAGTTAAATGTATGTGAATGTGAATCTAGGCGCTATAATACCCATTGGGGTTATACCACCCCAAAGAGGTTTTGGAATCTTGTACCACCACATTTTCCCATTAAGAGTATGCTGTGATTTCATGGCCATCCAAAAAAACTGGACCATCTAAATAAGAGGTTATTACTTAAACACAGCTCCATGCTGTCGGTTAACGTTGTCCTTTTTTTTGTTATCATCGTATAACTTACCTGTGTGATAGCACACAGTCAACAAAACACCGTGACTGATCATCGGTGCATAAAAATAACCTCATATGTAACAGGTTTGATGCCATCAGGTGCCCCCTGCCGCAAAGATGACACCCACCCACCCCCACCCTCCCCTTCCAACCACTGATTCCCCTGAAGCAAACGAATCCAATAGATAAGATGAACAAATGTTTTCACATTCCTGTTTTAATACAGTATGTCTGCGCATGCGTTTTACATAATCAAACGCTTATATCAACAATTTCTACAAACAGTTGGACAGGACTTCCATCTGACATCATCAAGGACTGGTATGCTGGAATCATGTTAACTTATGTGTTACTTTAGACTTTAACTCATAATACTTCTGAACAATATACACAATACTTCTCATGAGCACATGATACAGTACTTAATGCATCATAGTGTTGTTACTAGTACCTATCAGAACTGGCAAGACCATCTAAATAATAATTCACAACTGGAATGGACAACTAATTTCCTGGAAATATCAACCAAGATGGACAATTTCAACTTAGAAATACTACAGAGAATTGTTATCAACATTAACTGTTTCCAATATTAACTTTCAGCTAACTTTCTGAAAACTATGCTGACTTAAACATTATTAACTGTAAGATGTTTCTTACATACAATGGATAAGCTTGACACACATTAAAAACAGACTTACTTTCCACATTAATGACATTATGAATAAACTCATCAATGATGATTTCTATGACACATATTCCTCTGAAGTTATTGCTTAACTACAGTTGTTACATTTCCACAAAACTGTACCAATAAATGGCTATCCTTGACTGAACTACATGTCTGACAACTGACAATAATCACTGATGAGTTATCCCCCTTTACATGATAAAATGCATACACATTCTCAAAATGTTTTATCAAACTTGATATCAAATAACGCTTTCATACACAAGATACAGAACCCTGTGCTTGTTTGAACACTAACTGACAGAACATCTTCAACTGACAGCTGATTGTTTAGAGACAACACAGAATTACCCCCCCCCCCCCCCCCCTTAATTGGAATGCCACTGTTATTCCTGTGCAAAGATAATTATTTCTTAACCTCACAATTATTCTCTAACGATGCTGTAGCCCTTATACATGTACATGTATTTACAAAGAGACCCGTGAAGATTCCGGGGTAGAATAGGTCTTCACCAACCCATGCTTGCCGTAAAAGGTGACTATGCTTGTCGTAAAAGGCGACTAACGGGATCGGGTGGTCAGGCTCGCTGACTTTGTTGATGCATGTCATCGATCCCAATTGCGTGGATCGATGCTCATGATATCAATCACTGGATATGTCTGGTCCAGACTCGCTTTTTTACAGACCGCCGTTATATAGCTGGAATATTGCTGAGTGCGGCGTTAAACAACAAACCAAACCAAAATACAAAGAGACTACTGCACAAACATATTTGTCAACATTGGATAAATACATACTTTCATGTGCGTAAAGGTGGGAAAACTTTCTTATTCACTGCATAATGCAAAACGCATAAATCTACAAGAATATCCTGATCAAACCACTTGTACCATAGTTAGGCATAACTTGTAGGAATTATACACTTAGTAGTAGCTATTGATCAAGTCTTAACCTTCGGTTAACTTACATTGAACGGGACCCGTGAAGATTCCGGGGTAGAATAAGTCTTCAGCAACCCATGCTTGCCGTAGAAGGTGACTATGCTTATCGTAAAAGGCGACTAACGGGATCGGGTGGTCAGGCTCGCTTACTTGGTTGATGCATGTCATCGATCCCAATTGCGTGGATCGATGCTCATGATATTAATCACTGGTTTGTCTTGTCCAGACTCGATTATTTACAGACCGCCGTCATATAGCTGGAATATTGCTGAGTGCGGCGTTAAACAACAAACCAACCAACCAACTACATTGAACGGGACGTCGAGTTTGTTTACTTCCGCTGTGGCCGACAGCCAAGGGACGTAATTCCCTAAATAGACTCACTCCGCGTTCCGCTAAAACACTTACATAGCCCGCTAAATTACCATTCTGACACAATTCCTTTGTACTAAGGCATCAACGACACTGTATTCAATGCGAAAACTATCAAAGAACTATTTCTCCTCCATCTCATGTCTAAACTAGCATGATATAACAACATTTTCGGAAACATCGATCTACAACTGACAACTATGGCGGCAACGAACATACGTTTTGCCGATGACGGGCTTGCTGGCTTCTAAAACTTAAATTCCAGACTTACTGTGTGTTGATACATACATAAAAACATACAACATGATCTATATGATTTGTGGGACAAGGGGAATGTGTATCTATGTATTGATTCCTCACCTGAAGCAAACGAATCCAATAGATAAGATGAACAAATGTTTTTACATTCCTGTTTTAATACAGTATGTCTGCGCACGCGTTAAACGCACATGGCAGTGAGGTACTGTTTACCCAAAACAAATTATGCAATCATAGGCTTCTGATGAATAACCATTTCCTTACAACCTGATAAGAATCTGTTCTAAGAGAGAGGAATAAATCAACTTTAGGGGGTTTCAATCTAAATTCTTGTTATAACTGATAATCTACCATGATGATTATACTACTATCATAAGACAGCTTTGTCATGCTTTTACACATAGTACAAGCAAAGGTTCTATTTGTAATCCTCTCTAAAGGCACAAATAAGTCACAAGTACAATCTTTAATTTTGGCACGGAATCCACGATTTTAACTATAATAACTAACATTTCATGCAACAGAAACGAAATAACTACGAAGTCAACGCTTTGTCCCTGTTGGGACCCCGGATAGCATACGTCCGTCCGGTGGGAATTGACTTGGTTGATTGCATGTCAGAGTACTCCGACAGGGTGGCTCTTTCCTAATATCAGTCACTGGATTGACTGGTCACAGGCCGTCTTCATAAACCAGGAATAATGCTTAGCGCAGCTTTGAACAAATATAGAACGTCAACGTTAGAGAATCTTCCGTCTCGATTATCTGACGAAACATAATCCATTGGCTTTAAAAGGCAAAATAGCGGTAAAAATATATGAATAGGCCACTGAAAATGACGACACGCGATTCCCACAGAGAGTCATAAGAGTAAAGCCCGTAAACGTGAATAGTTCTGTGCTTCGTGATAAGAGATTAAGAAATGACGTCATTTCCGAAACGATGCTACGATGGCAAA